CACAGTCTATATATATATATATATATATATATATTTATGTATTATTATTAACGTTTTGTTTTTATGTATAACATGCGTGTGTGTGTTTGTATGTGTATGAGTGTGTGTGTGCATTGTTTTTCTTATTATTATTATTATTTATCTTTTTATTAACAGATTTATCTACTTATCATCATAACAATATATACACTACCATTGAAAATTTATTTATTTATTAATTTTTTGGCTTTTCTATTTATTTTTTTTCAACCTGTTGTTATTATTAATATTATTTATTTATTTATAAACTATAGTTTTGAATTTTTATTCAATTAAATAAATAATATTTAATTATTATTATTATTATTATTATTATTATTATTATTATTATTATTATTATTAATATTAAATTGATGTGAATTAAAATTTTTGATAACCTGATAAGAAATGATGATAATAATAATGATTTGAGATATAAAATTTCATTCATAATTAATTATATACAATAATTTTTTTTTTTTTTTTTTTTTCATTTTGACATTTTTTTTTTTTATATGTACAATTTTTTTATTATTTATTTTATTTTTTTTCAGGCAGTTGAAAATTTGGGCACGTTTAAACGAAAATAATAATAATAATAATAATAATAATAATAATAATAATATTAATAAAAAGATATTATTTTTGTTAAAATTAATCTTATTAATGTTTTATTAGCGATTTTTTTTAAACATGCTCAAATCAATGAATGTAATCAATTGTTACGAAAAAAAATCAATAATCGATAAATCAATAAATAATAATAATAATAATAATAATAATAAAAGAAAGGGATGATAAATTTAATTTTCTCTATCTTTTACCTTATCATCATTAATTAAATTATACGTATCTAAAAAAAAAAAAAAAATAACTTTATTCATCTAATCCAATAAATTTTAAACTTTTTTATTTTATTTATTTATTTATTTAAAACTATTACAAATTATTAAACTATTATTATTATTATTATTATTATTACGTTCTAGCGGCAGCAAAAATCATTACATTAAAATCGTTTACACAAATTAAAAAAAAATAATAATAATAATAATCTAAGTAACGCGAGAAATAAAACAAAAAAAAAAAAAGAAA